GTGGAATAATTAAAACGCAGATTAATGACTCATTGAAGATAATATTTCTAGGGATTTTGGAGTCCTGGGAAAATACGAGGTTTTCATAAAGGGTAAATTTGGGGGAAGAGGGGACACAGATATGTGATTTTTTTCTCATTACTTTTTAGGCATGTCAAGTCACATTGTTATAAACTAGTTGATCCATGGATATAATAAATTTAAAACACTATCTATTAATACATGTGGCATGTGGAGTGAGAAAAGATTCTTATAGTTTTCTTTTTTCCATTATTTGAGTAATTCAATTGAGACAGGACAAGTACAGATTTGGTTTCTCTGATCAGCAATAGAATGTAGGAATAGAATGTAGGAAACAACAAACTGGAACTTAATCTAGGCAAGGCATTAGGGAAGGAAAGAACATTGAAAAATATAAATAAAACATCAAAAGTTAGGGTTTTATAGTGTTGAGAAACTCTGATGGAAAAAGAGTCCTGATCTTTACAGTTTGGGACTTATTCTGACTGAAATTTCTGGTGTAGAAAAAAAGGAGATATTATTTCTTACACTGAAGATTTTGTTTCTTATTCCAAAATTTTTGTAATTGTGTTTTCAGTCTGTGTAAAATTTGCACATGCTTTCGGTCCCTGTGCACTAAGGGGGTTGTTTACTCCAGTAAATTAGATCTGGTTTGATGCCTCTTGCCTAGCAGTTGGGTCCAGGTTATTTACAGGATTACCTTCTCCTGCACAATCTGCCCTTTAGGACACTGAGGTCCTTTTGGAGGCAATTACTCCAACCAGCCAGAACCCAACTGGTGACTGTCACCCAGAGGACCGTTTTATCGGCTGTCCCATTACTGTGGAATGAACTGCTGGAAGAGATTCGACAACTAAATGAGGTTTCAAAATTAGAAATGCAGTTGAAGACCCATCTCTTCTGGCAGGCTTACCCAGTTAACTTTATGTTTTGATTTATTCTATTTCCACTATGTGTCAATTCTTTATCTGTGTTTGGTGTGAGTTTTCATGTGTGTGTTTATCTATGTAATTTATTTTATTTTTCTGTTTTGTTTTTTTAATTTGTTGTACCCTGCCTGGAGCTACCAGGCGAGGCAAGTAATAAATACATTATTATTATTATTATTATTATTATTATTATTATTATTAATAATAATAATAATAATAATAATAATAATAATAATAATTAGAGGACTTTTTCTTCTGCTACCTCTAGGTTGTGGGATGACTAACTAGAAGAGATTTTGCAAATGAGTATTCTGTTTAAATTCAACGTAGCATTAAGGTCAATTTCTTCCAGCAGGCCTATATAGCTGATTTTTTAAATTATGAATTGTGTACTTGTTGTTTTAATATCTTGTGATTTTTTGTTAAAAATCTGATGTTTTAACTAGGCTATATGTTACGTGTTTTTAAGAGAATGTATATGTTGTATTAGAATATGATGTTATTCTGCACCTCAATCCATGTGGATAGGTGGATATGCAAGTTTTTCATAGACTAATTCCCAAATTGTGAACAGGTTTCAAAAACTCCACAAGACTTTGCTGCTGGGAAAAGAAAATTACAATAATTATACATTGCTCTAAGAATTTGTTTAGTGAAGAATTACATCCCTAGAAGGAGAAGTTGGTGTTTGCCCTCAGTTTGCTACAAAAAAAATAATAATCTCATATTTATTTATTTTTACCCCTTGTTCAATAAAAAAATAGTGTCAATGTATCTCACAGTGTTTTCATCAATCAAAAAATTAGATGGGTTTATGCTTTCCCAAAGGAGTAATCTCACGCTGTCAAGATGTTAATTGACCCAGACTTTTTTGTGGAGGTTCAAGTGACCTCTGTAATGATTATTACCTTTTGTGTGATACAGCTGGTATGCCAGCTGCAGCTCTCAGACTTACTTACTGCCAAATCTGACATGTGGAGCTGTGTTTGAAAACATCTAAAAATGTTAAATTATTCCACAGCAGGAGTGGCAACATTGTCAAATTCAAGAATGATGCTGATGTTTGCCCACCAAAACTAGTGTATATTTGTTTGGCTACTCAGTTCAAATGAGTTTGGAATTAATTTTGCCAGCAGTTGGTCTATTTTTGAGAATTCAGAGTGTTGCCACTTGCGCATTAACTCATGCATGTTTCAAGATATGGATACTCAAATATTTGAAGTATTTGTTAAAGGGGCCTACTATTAATGAGCAATTAGCTTCCAAATTAATGGACCTATTTCTGGAATTGGGTACAATAAATAATGGTTTCCCCTGCCTTAAAAAATTAAAAGCAACTAAATATGATGCATTTTTGCATTTAAAGTTTCTTTATGCACTTTTCTTTTGTTTAAACCAGATCTATTCCTTTTGATTTAAACAACATTAAAAAAATCTATTCAGGCATGTAAGACATACCTGTTCCGACAGGCTTTTAATGTTTGATACTGTTGTTTTTAAATTGTTTTAAATTGCTTTTAAACTTTGTTAGATTTTAGCTATTCTTGTAAGCCGCTCCGAGCCCCAGGGGAGTGGGGGCATATAAGTTTAAATAATAAATAAATAAAATAAATTAATCACCTTGAACGTGGTAAATTTGACAAATAAATGAACCCTATGTATTAGCACCACTTTGCTCATTCAGTTATCACTTTTACCAGCATTCAATCTGGAAATTGGCAGGTTTGGTATGTGTGTCTTGTCAGGAAATATTGTCAAGTCAGAATACCAGAATACCTTTATAGCACAGAGTGGCAAAATTCCAAGTTTTCCATTGAACTGTGCTTGGAAGCAGTGGCAATTTAAGTAAACTCGGATTGGAGAGGCAGCTTTCACCTAAAGCATTAATTATCTGAAATTGCAAAAAATAATCAGTATTCAGTTTAAGGTGGCATCACCTACCTAGAGTCATCTCTTAAGTTTTGTTCCAGTGTGCCTTTTTAGTACACGGCTGAATGCATTTTCTCTATTTTGGCATGATATTGTTAGTTAAAGTGTGATTATGAGTGGTGAAAATAACCTTGTTTAGGGCACATGTATCCAATTTTAAATTAATTCAAACACCTCTACTGATTCCATTTAAACTTTTTTTCATTAATTTTTGGGGGATCCCTGTTTTGTATGTGTATTATGGAATGTCTTTATTTATTTATTGGATTGATATTTCACCTTTGTCTAAAAATGTGATTTCGAGGTGGTTTGTTGTAAAACCAAATAAAACAAATACAATAATAATACACAAGTTTATCATAAAATTTCTGCAAATTGATACAGTATTTGGCCAGTGGCTATAATTTTGGAGTGAAAAACCTCTGTTTGGATTCACGTCAATGCTTGGCATTTGTAGTAAAGAAATACTTAGGCTTAAATATATCTTGAGTGGATATTATCTGACCAAAATATTGTTTCTACATTGGAATTTACAGTGGCTTGGGTAAATTTAAAATTACCAAGATTCATCTATTCTATAAGGGTAAAATAAAGTTAAAGGCTTCCCCCTGACATTAAGTCCATTCGTGTCCAACTGGAGGTTGGTGCTTTTCTCCATTTCTAAGTCTAAGAGCCAGCATTGACAGGACTTAATAAGCAGGAAAACATATTTTCTAGCCACAAGATAAGAAGTTTTATGAGTTTTTGTTTGTGTGTTACATCCATTCTTCTCAAAGGGACTAGATTCCAATTCTGGTTATTACAAGGTAACAAAAGAATCCTGATATTTACACTTGCAAACAATTGGGCCATTAGCTTATATGTTCTACTTGCCTAGATTAAACCTGAAATCTTTTTCACTGGGCACAAACCAATGTAATTGGTATACAGAGCTTCCTGAATTGTGATATGTTGGCAGTCTATAGACTTTAGATAGGTACCCATTTTTTTATATTAATTTATTATATTATATTATATTAATTCTTACTCGTTATATCAATGGGTTTATGAAAGTTTTCCCTGAATGTTTCGTTGGTCCTAGTGAAATCAGAATTATTCTGGCCAGAATTATTATAACATGGGCAATAGATTCCCTGCACTGTCTTATTTTAATTGGGTTTCACGGTTTCCATGGAATTTCAATAGCTGCTCTGAGTCTCCTAGCCATTATGTCTCCTTGTTTAGGGAAAAAGCAGGGTATAAAAACATAACAATAATAATAACAGTAGCTTTTAAAACAAACTTAAATAATTTAGAATAGTTTGAATATTGTTTTTGCTGCATTGTTTTGGAAATTACATGTAGTATTCAAAACACATATGGGAGTTGGTGTTGGCTTAGTGTTCATAGGTTCTCAAACACAGAAAGAACAACTAAATGTATTTGGAAGGAACATGGGCCAAAGTTGTTTTACATTAATGTGCATATTTTGGTGCGGCATAAAACTTAACCAATTCCCTCAATTACCACGAGCAGTTGTCATGTTGGCTGGGTTCTGGGAAATATAGTCCAAAAAGATAAACTGCCCAAAACATGCAGATTTTTATAGAGGAGTAGTTGTTGTTTGTCCTGTGTTGGTAGTGATTATGCCCCCTGCTTGCTCTATGGATCATTCAAGTGTAGCTGATACTATAGTGTCCAAAACTTTTCTGTGTGTTATAAACTCTTTGTCTTATGAAGTCTATAGCTGAAAGAATTACGTATTTAGTAGTTGGTAGGTTTGAATAGTTGTTCCCAATACAGAAGTAATTGTTACAATTTTTGGGATATTTTGGGTTCTATTTCTCCTAACTGCAATTTATACTTTGGTTGGTTAGTTTTCTTTTCTTTTCTTATTAGCACACATGCACTCTGCCGCAAAAACAAAATGAAATCTGGATTTTTGTTCATGTATCCTCATTCTCAGTAGGTTAACATCATTTGCTCAGTTTTCCTTCTATCCCAGATACCTAGAGTTGTTGTACTCTTAAGCATCTTTTTTGGACTGAAAATATAATGTTGCTGTGCTAGGCTAGTTGTGAGAGAAGGAAAATTGGACTATGGCAGCCTTCCTTATCATATGTATACTTCTACTCTTTACAGAACATTGTACGAAAGAGATGTTTCACTACCTTATGGACCAGCTCTGCCAGATCCATTTGCCAGCCCACACATGATGCCTGAAATCGAGTAAGTCTTATCTTAAGTACTGCATATACTCATGTTTAAATCAACTTCATGTATAAGCAGAGGGCAGGTTTGGAGGCCAAAACTGTGGATTTTGATATGTGCCTTGGTAAAATTGAGGACCATTTTATAAATAGGGGAAAGTACCAGCTGTTCCTGGTCACTGTTACCTCTTTTCGGGCATTCACAAAAGTTAGAAACAGCAACACAGCAGAGAATAGAGAGAGTCAGTTTTATCTTTTCCAGGAACAGCTCTTGCCTTTTGTTATTTTACTAAGAGAAGGGGTGACCCAGTTTTTCATTTTGATTTTTTTATGATGATTTTTTTGGCACGTTAATCTAATAATTTATTGTTAAATTTTACAGATGATGTAGTCTAATGTTTTAAAATGATTTTATTGTAAATTGTAATTTTTATTGTATTTATGCTGTTAGCATCCTCTGATGCTCATGTGAGGCTGTGCTGAGTCCCCCTTGTTGGGAGAAGTGCGGGATATAAATATATGAAATAAATAAACAACATTTACCAGAATTGTACAGGAGGCAATCACACGATAGGAAAGCAGTCCCTTCTACTTTTAGAGGGCTAATGTGATATTGTCCTTATACATTGAATATATAGGTTATGTAGGAAAATGACAGTAGCACGTTCTAGGCTGAACTTTTATCCCAAGCTAGTTTTTTTTTTTTTTACTTTCAGAGAGTTTGTAAAATAAGAAATAATAATAATCATAGTAAGAGAACACTTTGGCACAGTGCATCAGATTAAGGTTGTGAACACCTTATTCTGTTATATATTTGGAAGTAGTTAAAGATAATCTCAGGATTGATGTTTTATGCTGTGTTTGCAATTGCTGTTTTATAGTTTTATAGTTTTAATGATTTTAATTTATTGTTATACGTTATTGATTTGATATGTGATGTTTCATATATGTAAGGCATTGGGTTTTGCCATTGATTATGCTGTGAACAGATTTTATTCCCCCTGGGGGTGACAAAAGTGGTATATAAATGAAATTAATAATAATAATAATAATAATAACAACAACAACAACCCTCATTCATGAATTTGAATTCTGGTGCATTTGAACTTGCTGGCTACATCTGTGGTTTTGCTTGCTCTGTGCTGGACTACTGATTTCAGCTACATAATAATCATCACCACACTTCACATGTTCAACTCCTTATTGGACATGAAAAACAAACGTAACTGTAATCTAATATGCAATGTAATATACCGGTATAGTGAAAGCAACTTTGTATGACAAGATTTTAGGTTGCCATCCAGGTATCGCTTCATTAGATACTACTTGAATCTTGTCTTTTCCTTGGTGGTTTTCTCCTCCACAAATGTATGGAAAATGTTTGTTTTTTTTCTTTATCTTTTCCTATGTATGATGTTTGCAGACAATTACTTGCTTTTCTTGTCCAGGGGAAATCAGCTAATTAGCGACTAGTATTTGTGGGATGATCCTATCAGTGGCAGTCTTTATCTCCCTCTGTGTACTTCACTACATATATGTTTTGTTTTGTTTCATATGGTATCTGCTGTGTCACCCATTACAAGTTTTACCACCCATTCATCCAGAAAGCATATTAGGTGCTTAGTTGCACTTTTGGGGAGGCTACCATAATTGGCTTAGATCTGTGTTCTTTTTCACCTACTTTAGGCTGTATTTTGTTGGCTTGTTAGTCTGGCTAATTGGAGCACTTTTTAATTGGCACTGTTACTCTTGAATTCAGATAATTGATCTTTATTTCATTTGTTGGATGGTTGTATCTCTTTGGATTTGGATAATTGGATTTTGATTTGAGATTAGGCAACACAGTGTGGTCAAAGATTGTACTAATTTGAGCTTTCTGAGAACATCACAGAGATATGATGTGATAAATGAATAGTGTTCTGCTGGGGACATGTCCTTGGGGACTAGCAGGTATTATTGATGATTCAATTTCCAATGAGGTAGAGTCATATATTTTGTACCCAACTTGAGAATTTGTCTGTTAACAAAATTCAATGGGATATTTATCACCCTATGCCCTGACTTCATCCTCAAATTGCCTTTAGGGGCTAGCACCTACACTGCCCTCTTGGGCAGTATTGTTTGAAGCTAGCTTTACTGACTATGTTGAGTACTAAGCTTGATTGAACTTAAATTATTTCCATGTTTACATTCATATATTTTCTTTCCTTCATTCCCTTTTGGGGAGGAGCAATGCAGAGTTGGAATGGATAAGAAGAGTTATCTAGTCCAACCTCCTGCCAGTCGGGAATGACCTAAAGCTTCCCTGACATAGACTTCCAATTTCTCTTTCAGAGCTTCCAGTGAAGAAGAGCCCACCACCTCCTGAAAGTAATGTAACAATGTTAAGCAGCTCTTCCTAAAGTTTGATCCAGTTATTCATTCTTCTGATTGGTACTCAGTGGTTCAGATCTGACTTTCTGGAGCAATAGAAAACAAGCTTGCTCCACCTTCCATGTAACAGTTCTTCAGATATTCAGATGATTAGCACATGTCGTATTAAGCTTCATTTTGAAATGTACATAACTTCCCAACTGATTTGTTGATCCTTTATCATCTTGTTAGCCCTATTCTTGATGTGTTTCAGGTTTTCTATATACTACTTTAGCTGTGGAACCCAGATGAGGTCACAGGAAAGCAGAGTAATAGTTCTACTACATCCCTTCATCGGGATACTGTAATTCTGTACTTCAACCTAAATTATATATATATATATATATATATATATATATATATATATATAGTATATATTTTGACAAATGCCGCATACATGTATGTTTCATTTTATATACTTCATAAATAAATCAACATTTTGCCTTTTATTCTCAAATCCAGGGGTTCTCAAACTGTGCTCCATGGAGACCTTGGGGCTCTGTGGGTGCTAATCAGGGGCTTTATGGCGCCATTCTGCTTCCCGTCACTTCATCTTTCCTCCTCCTGAGAAATGCAGGGAAATTAAAGTTTTGAACTGTTGGAAACAACGGCAGCAGCATATGCCTGGGACACTAGCCCTTTCTCCCCTGCCTCCCTCACTGCCCAAACTCTTTTCCTTGCTGCCCCCCCCCCCAATTTCTTTGTTTCCAAAATCCTATTTCCTTCTCACCACTCAGGGAGTGCTTTGATTGTGTTTTGATTGCATGACAAAAAGGGGATGGACTGGATGTCATCTGGGTTCTTTATTATAATTATTATAAAAGGTTGATGGTCATCTGTTGGAGGTGCTTTGATAGTGTTTTTCCTGCATGGCAGAAAGGGATTGGACTAGATAGCCCTAGAGGTCTTCCACTGAAATACTGTTAAGTTTATGCTGGTTAAAATCATTCTGCATTTTAAATATTGTATTGTTCTTTTTTTCCTTTTTTGCACTGTGTGAATTAGCTCACACAAACACTCTCCAACCATTTACCACTGGCCCAGCCCATGCCTGATATATATATATATATATACACACACACACACACACACACACACACACACACACACATACACAAACATTCTCTCTCTCTCTCTCTCTCTCTCTCTCTCTATATATATATATATATATATATAAAAACATTTCTTGGGGCTCTGTGAGAAACTTTTGCTTCAAAAAGGGCTCTGCGGCTGAAAAAATTTGAGAAATCCATCTTTAATCTGACAGATCTATGACTTCCTCGTTAAAATATTATAAACAAAAATATCAAATGACAAAACCATTTTAAATGTCAAATGTTTCATAATCCCCTAAATTTAAAAAAATTATTTAATTACAGTATTTGGGACCGTTTGTTCTTTTAAAAAGTTGTAGAACTATGTTATTGTTAAGTTTCATTTATAACATTATTGGGTTTCATTTATAACATTATTGGGTTGTGCACAATGCTCAAAAATCATATAATTTTCATTTCAGTTTTTGGCTACCCCCCATTTTGTTTTCCAGGAAATTCCTGAAATCGGGAGAAAAGTGCTGTTTTCGATCCAGTAAGATTTGGTCCATTGGTGCCAATAGGGAAACTTAGTTTAGAGGCTCATTTCTCCATCGGTTTTAAGTCTATCTTGATTAAACTTGCCTTCATTGTAGGCCACATTTATGACTGCAAGCCTGCCAAGTTTCAGAATGTTTCACCAATCCCCACTGAGTTTTGGGAAACTTAAGGTTTTTACCATAACCATTTAAAAAAATACAGCAAGAGGGAATTCTGGGAATTGAAGTCCCAACCAGTACACACCCCATTAGGGGAGGAGAATGGACACAGTCAACCAGGCCTCTGATTGGCTGAGAAAGAAATGTGAGAAATGGAGAGAGACAAAAACTTCAACTCCCCTTCAGTGCCCACACTCTGCAAAATGCTGCTTGGAAAACAAGTTCTTGGTGGATCCATCTCTGGAGGAGAGGCCCAGAGAAGCCTTTCCCATCTTGCTCTCTCTCTCTCTCTCTCTCTCTCTCTCTTTTTTTTTTTCCTGGACTTATTTGCCTCTAGCAGGCACTCTGCTGGGTGGTGGGATTTCAAGAAAGGATGAAGGAGGCTACCAGGGAAGAAAGCAGAGAAGCGTCTGCTGCCAAGCACCCACACTTGTCTGATTTGTGAGTCCACCCATACTCTGTGGCCTCTGCCTCAGGTAGGGTGCTGCTCAGCCCCATCTCCCCCATTAGCCAAAAGATCTGGCTGCTGGTGATCCATTCTGGTTGAGGCTTCAGCTGAGTCCTGCCATTTTCAGCAGCCTGGCTGTCAAATTGCTGAGTTTTCCCAAATCGCCAAATGGAATTGTGAACAGAGTTCTCGCAGAACTCTTCACTTTCTTATCTACGTATTTCAACAGAATTGCTTTGGGTCTCCTATATTTTATACTGTTGTTACCACTTGTTTCTGCCCTGTAAGTATAATCACTACATAAGTGATTATACTTAAAAGCAAAAAACTATCCATAGTCTTCCCCTGTATCCTGTCTTCAGCTTTCCTGTGCTTCACAGTAGTATCCGTCACCTCTATATGCAAAACT